CCCCCATGGAACAGGTCAGCTGTTAAACCCAGGAATACTGCCATCTTCACCAACGCTGAGCAGCCTGGCTCTTCAAAAAAAAGAGTATTATAAAACATGCACAACATGCACCCATATCTCCTGTTAGTACATTGGTTCAGGCAAAGAATGTAAAGCCTTGGAAAAGACAGTGTTTGCAGTAAGAAATTACAACTAAATAAATTATTTTCATACCTGGTTTGGGAGAATCTCCTGGTTTGGGAGAATGCACAACTTTGTGGTTAAGTAATTTCCTGAAATAATCTAAATTAATTGGATTTTGGATCTAATGACAGGAAAATAATTTGAAGTAACAATCTGTGTTGGTGAAATGTCAAGAACAGTGACCCTACCGCTGCTGTGAATTAAATCTGATGTGTGTAGTTAGTGAATGAATGTTTGGGACTAATTATCATTCATTATGATGCAAAAATGTACCAAAAAGCAATTTTGTGCAATACTGTATTTCCCTAGCTGTTATCTTTTTGTGCCTGTCAAAATAACTCATCCCTATCAGGGACGACATGGTCTTTGGGCAGGGATGCTTTCCTAGTTAGCTCCCACACTGGCAAAGCTGTCATAAGGCTACCAGCTTTCTTTATCCTCTTTCCTTTTGAACATCTAATTATGTAGGACTCTCCAGCTCTCAAGTAAGCCCTATCACCCACACTGCCATGTAGCATAACCCTTTTCTCTCTGAGGGAAAATGACAGAGTACCATTTCTTCAGATTTGCTCTGTGCCTCTTTAGTCCAGGGTTTTTTTGTTGTGGGATTTTCTGCTTCTTTGCTTACTCTCATCCCTGAGTGAAAAACCATTCATGGTATTAATCTCCTGCATCACGGGATGATTTCCTGAAAATTCTTTCTTTGCATCTCACAGCACTGCCTGCATAATAATAATGGCTTTCCCTGTAGTTGTGCTAAGGATGGCTGAAAGCTCAATTCAAAGACAGATAAACTGGTATGGTGCCACTGAGCACACAATTTGTGCTGCAAAATATCTGCTGCTAGTTATATCGCACAGGAGGAGAGAAAAAAAAGACCCGTAACATTCAAACCCAGTTCACAGAGCTTGCAGTCAGGAATTTAATTCACTGCATTTATAAATGTATTGTTTTAAAGACAGATTTTGTTAAAATTTCTTTCCCCTAGCTCTGCCAGCTAGTGTCCAGAGGCATTAACTGACTGTGATGGGCAAGTGCTTGTAACGAATAAGGAAATAGCCATCATTTAAGACTACAACAACTCCAGCGTTGAAATCTGCTTCAGTTTTGCCTGCTATTCACGTACACTCATTTCTTAATGCAAACTCCTCCCTCCAGGTCTTTGAAAGAACTAATTTTGAGCCAGGCATGAATGCAACCCGAGAGTGAGGCGGAGATGGTTCTCTTGTCACCAGAACTATACCTGATGTCTCGTGTGAGAGTTCCTTCGGCCTCGGCTAGAAGCATTATTAGAAATAAAAGTATGAAAAAGAAGAAGATAGTAAATACAGCAAAGATACAAGATCCAGAATAGTGATGACCACAATTTTACACAATATAATAAATTCCTAAAGTCATAGGAAATCAAAAGCTGGGTATCAAACCCAGGGTAATACTGCTTCTCCGCAGACTTTGAATAATGAATGTAATGAAAATAGCAAGCAGGAAATTGTGCTAAGTCATGGGATGCACCACTACATCCTATCTTCTACATGATGCTAAGTTTCCTAATAAAACCAGGCTGCCAATACTATCCCTACTTGAATAATAAAATCATAGGGAGGCTAACATGAGAAGTA